GTTATTTCCTCTTGTGTGTGTAATGTACATTCATACCACATGTGTTGCAAGTCCTTGCAGAGGCCAAAAGAAGCCATCAGATCCGCTGGAACTGAACTTATATGCAGCATAATACACATGGCAAGCTGCTTGACGTGTGCCTGGAACCAACCTCAAAGCTGTCTCTCCAATCCCAGCTATTAAGAAAAAAAAAAAGTATGTGAAATTATCAACCCCATGGAAGTTGTACTAATGCTCAAAAAGTATGCTGTTGGGAGTAAGGTTAGAGGAAGACACAGAAGGGATGCCTAACTTACAATAAAGGCAGGAAGGATGCAGCATCTAGAGCTCTCTAGCGAGCAGTGTGTTGATGAAGCCAGTTCTCTTCAGAAGGCAGATGTTTATCCAAAAATACTCCCCAGAAACACAGGTTGGTAATCTGCAGGGGAGATGGCCAGGCACTTCTGTTCCCAAAGGTTACGGTGCGATAGAGGGAGCCCTGACAGCTGCTCCTGCATCTGCATTCATGAAGCAACCCTCTTATTTATGCTCATGGCTGACTACAGACCTCCCCCCCCCCCCCAGACATGATGCAGTCTATGTGTGTTAGTCTCCCAAGTACTGGGATTTCACTACACCTCTGAATGTGTATACATTTCACATGCACACACATAACCTGATTCTGGTATAACAATAAAAAAATTAATATTCAGCTTAAGATATGTTAGCAGGTACGTTTTTGTTACTGTTGTTTTTGCAGGCGTGCACTGCATGCTGGTTAACGAGCTTACTGTCTGAACTGTCAATACGGACTTTGAGAGAACAGCGCCCTCCAGGAGACCTGGGAAATTTACTCTGGGGAGCCTTCTGTGTCAGTCTCAGTACGGGATGTGGACCAATAAATGTTTGATGAACATAGGAAGCAGTGTGTAGGTTCATGTATTCATATTATAGAGCATCTCACCTTTTGAGGATCTCAGCTAAAACAACAGTAGAAGGCATCTGCCCCACAGGCAGGTCCTGCGTCTGATGTCACCGCTATGTGAGCCTTCTGAAAGAGCAGTTCAAAGGGCAGATTGATATAAATGGGTTTGCTCCTATTGGCTCTGCTCTGCCACAAGATCTCACCTGAATTCACAAGTTTCCTTTGAACTGAAGGAGGCAATAGAATTGAATTCACAAGACCAGAACAGGTGGCAACAGTACAGCCAACTGAAGTGAGCATCCACATTCTACTCTGCGTGCAAAAGCCATGCTTTATCCCTCCAATGCTGGCATCGGGACACCCAGGTAAGTTCTCTCCCCCCTCCCTATTTTTAACTGTCATGTCTCCACTTTGTCCCACTTTTTCCTAATAGGACCATACATGTTTACTGGTCAAATTACTAAATACTTGATAAAATTCATTCTTTCTTTTCTCCAACAACCAGAAATCTTCACTTCTTCAATCCTACATCCTGAGTTAAAAAAAAAAAAAAATTGAGGGTGACATTCAAAACCAAACCTTACTTCTCACGATAAAACCTAGTAATTATTCTGCTTTCTCAAGTCAGATAGTCCTGCTAATCTGACAGGAACGATGCAAAATTAGCACTTTCCTTCCCCCTCAATGCCAGTGGAGTTACATGACTCAACCCTGCCCTGCACCAGTCCATTGTCACAACTCCCACCCTCCTCCTGTAACCACTCCAGTCCATCTGCCCTAACAAACTATCTTCTCTGCTTTGGTGGCCCTCCCCAGCTTAGGTAATGTCAGTGTCCATTCTTTTACTGCATGACAACAGCAGAAGACACTCAACTGTGTGACATAATAGGAAAGAATTGTACCTAATCTTTATTTCAGTTAAAAGAGACAGGTCATACTTAACCATACTTGGGTGCCTAACCTACAAGTACAGTAAATTATTTGACACTGAGATTATTCAGAACTTTAAGGAGTCTTTGATGACTCAAGAGATACTTCAAGAATGTTGCAGTGCTCATAAGCCATCACTATGCCTAGTTTTGGGTAAACTTGATGAACAGACCAGATTTGCCTGATGCAACAAGTCTTGCGCATGACTGGAAAAGGTAGAGAACACGTGGCTTCCTGGTGTTGGGTTCTGTACAATTTTATTCATCAAAGAGAGCTCTTTTATGCTCTTACTGTGTGCCTGGCAGAATTAAGTCTCTGGTTCTGGCATTAGTTACTGAATACCACGCTCGTCTGTGAGTACCTTAGCAATTAGGATGGGTTCCTTGCCTCTGTGTCTAATATTTAAGTACAGGTTTGTTCTTATTTTCCCAGTGTTACTTTTAATTAGGCAAAGATGTTTCACAGGTTCTTTCTCTTGGGCTCATCTGACCTGTTAGGACTAATACAGTACTAAGTGTGATTTGGCTTTCAACTCATTTGCAGTTTTAAATTTTCTAACTACAAGAGAATTTACTCCAGACTTCTATACACAACTGACAATTAATACAGGTATATCCTCACTACTTCCTTCCCTCTATTTGCCCAACTTGGAGAAGGGATGTTAAATTCACTGATTCATAATTTTAATTCCAACCTTTACTCATTTTTTGTTTCTGTTGTTTTTCAAGACAAGGTTTCCCTGTGTAACTGTGGCTGTCCTGGAACTTAGTAGACTAGGCTGGCCTTGAACTCAGTGATCTGCCTGCCTCTACCTCCCTGAATGCTGGGATTAAAGGCATGTGTCACCATGCCCGACTTTTACTCATGAATTTTATTGAATTTATTCTATAAGTACGGGTGTTCTGTCTGCATACTTGTCTGTGTACCATGTGAATGCTTGGTGCCCACAGAGGCCAGAAGAGGGCACTCAATACCCTGGGATTGGAGTTACAGATGGGTATGAGCTGCCATGCGGGTGCTAGGAATTAAACCCAGGTCCTCTGGAAAAGCAGCCAGTGCTCTTAACCACTAATGCTCTTAACTGCCAAGCCATTTTTTTTCAGCCCCTTTTTTCAACATTTAATTCATTTAAAGTCTGCTGACTCAGCCGACCAGATACCTAACCTACCTCTGCTATATCATAGACTGCTGTACAGACTTCACCTTTTTAAATGGTTTTTAAATGGATGTTAGTACTCACCCAGAAACATGATGGGAGAAATCTGATAACTAGAAAAAGGCTTTAGATAAACCACTGTCTTGTAGCAAATTACTATTTTTTTCTAAAAAGGATCATTTGTTTTGATGCTAATATATTTTGCCTGGAATCCTTGAACTTTTTCATGTACTCATCTAGAGAAAAATGTTTCCTGCCCAAGACAGGGTTTCTGTGTAGCCCTGACTGTCCTGGTACTCTCTATGTAGATCAGGATGACCTTAAACCGATTGGCCGGCCTCTGCCTCCTGGGTGCTAGGATTAAAAGCAAGCACTACCATAACAATCTTAAAGAAGAATTTGTACCATAACAGGTCAGAAAAGTTCTCCCACTGCTGAAGATTTAAGCAGGACCTTCCACATATTAGAACAAGTATTTTTAATCAATTACATTTAGCATTATCTACAAATAGTAATCTTCTTCCTCTTATCTGAGATTTCACTTCTCATGGTTTTGTCATTCATTCGAAAATACGGTCCAAATTTTAAACTTGATACCACTGTGAATAGCATGAGGAACTCTCACACTGTTCAACTCTGTCCTGCAGGGACATAAATGACCTTTGTCCAGTGCAGCAGCCCTGCACACTGATCACTGGGTGGTTGTCTGGGCTACCAATCAATTCCCACGACATTGCACAAAGAAGTCAGAGTGGAGGTACTAGCAATTCAGCTGTATCAAAGAGAAGTTGTACAGTGCTTTTTTTTTTTTTTTTTTCAAGTGAAAAGACCAAAATCATCAACTTAAAAACAAAACAAAACAAAAATTATATGCTGGTGTAAGATAAGAACAAATCTATTTCCAAAGCTGTCAAGAAAGCAAAAGATTTTGCACTCATTTTTAAACTATTTTATTTGGAGTATTTACGCCTCTCCCTCCCTTCCAACACCACTTTAACCCTAGGTAAGAGAGAGAAGGCTAGCGGGTGGAGGGGGCACAGACCCTTTTACTCCTCCCAGCTGTTTACGGTCAATGGGTTCTTTTGGGGCTATACCAATGTCTGTCAACAGCAAAGGCGGCCAGCAGCCTCCTCCAAGCCACTACACTGAACCATTTCTCCCTGCCTATCTCCTCCAAGCTGCCATACCTTCTTTCTGGGCCCCAAATCTATGTCCCACAGAGTTCTAGACCACACTCCTCTCTGTGCAGCACGAGGCAGGTTGCGACCAGCTGGCAAAGACCACACCTCACAGGAGGTAATTATCAGCTGTGGATAAACTAAAGCCCAAACTAAAATCCCACACTTGGAATTAAAACAGAAACATATTTATATAACATAACTGTTTTTAGAGAAACCAAAACTTCCATTACAAAGGATATTCATACTAGTTTTGCTATTGTGCTTCAAAGAACAAAAATTACAGCTACAGTAAGTAGTTAAGATAGAAAACCATTAAAAGTGGTAATGTATAGGAAAGGGGACGGACACACACACACACACGAAACAGAAAAGTACCACAGTGGTTTCATGTATCCATGGGTCACAGAACAAAGGGTGACTACTACTGTCATACTTAAAAAGCAAGGTCTGAAGAAAAAGATGCCTTTGATAATCACATTCGAGGACTTCAAAGTACAAAGAGAGCTTGAGGACCTGCAGACCTTTACTGAGCACCCAGCACTATTTTAGACACTAGACACAGAACAGGGGATTGGATTCCAAAGCTGCAATTCAGTCTGGTCACATTCCATCCTTCCAAAACTCACCTCCTCCCCTCATCTCTCTTAGCATATGGTACCACCCACTCATCCACCAAAACCTAAGCTCTGAGAGATGTTAGGTGCATAAATACATCTCTCTTGTCCAACTGGCTTCATCCCTGCTCTTCTGGCTAGAATGTTCTTCCTTTTTTCCAAAAGTGTGTTTGATACACATATTGTACACAAAGTGACCATACCAGACTCGAGAATACCATTTTGCTTTACCTTTATTGTTTAAAATATATTAAATACACATTAAATAGAGCATATTTAAAATGTACAAAATGCATTTTAGTAAACAGCCATAAGCCTACCACCCAAGAACTAAAGCAGTTATCATAATTCACCTGTGTGCTTTTCTCTGGCCCTTTTAATTCCTCCTCCCACAGGCTACCACTAAACTTAATTTTGGGATTTCTGTAACTTAAGGTTTTGATCAAGTATGTAGCAACCATATATATTCTTTGGTCTCCTTTTTGAACTCAATAAAAACAGTATCTTGCCTTTAAGTAGTCTTAAGAAACTTGTTTTACCCCTATTTTCTTTGATTCATTTTTATTGCCAAGTGAGGCTGCAATTTGCTCATTTTCACTGCGCCATGTACCTCAGGGTACCTTGTAAAAGCACTGTCCCATGAACAGAATTTCAGTTGTTGTGATTACTAACATGATTACACTGCTATGACCAAAATGTAAGACACAGCTGAACAAGAGTAGGAGTCATTTGTTCATATCCCTAAGGTCCAACTGTTCTTAGTTAGGTGTTACATCACGTGACTAGCTACAGATCTGTGGGTCCCACTCTTGCAATTGTTACAGGTAGGAAGCAGAATCTCATACTTCTGATCACCACAGAACATCTGTTTACCAGCCTCACAAGAATGCCTTTCTCTCTTCTATGTTTTACAAATAAAAAACTTCTAGCTGGGCATGGTGATGCATGCCTTTAATCCCAGCACTTTGGGAGGCAGAGGCAGGTGAATTGCTGAGTTTGAGGCTAGCCTTGTCTACGGGACAGTCAAGGCTACACAGAAAAACCCTGTCCAGAAAACAAACAAACCCCAAAACAACAAAAACAAAACAAAACCCTTCTATATATTATAGTTACTAATTCCTTAAGTCATTCATTTGCTTAACAGAAGTCCTTACTTTTTTAATTAAAAAATTTATTATTATTATTTATTACAATTTATTCAATTTGTATCCCAGCTGTGGCCCCTCCTTTGTCTCTTCTCAATGCTACCCTCCCTCCCTCTTCTCCCCCATGCCTTTCCTCTAGTCCACTGATAGGGGAGGTCCTATTCCCTTTTTATCTGACCCTAGTCTCATCAAGACTGGTTGCACTGTCTTCCTCTGTGGCCTGGCAAGGCTGCAAGAAAGAAACTTAGGCACTGAAGATACATTTGCAGAAACTGATACATCTCTCAAAGAAAAAAATAAAATCAGAAAAGTTCCAAACTCAAAACATCCAAGAAATCAAGGACACCATGAAAAGGCAGAATCTAAGAATAGGAATAGATGAAAAAGAAGATTCCAGGCTCCAAGTTCAAGAAAATATTTTCAAGAAAATCACAGAAGAAAAAATTTTCAACTTAAAGAAAGAGATGTCCTTAAACATACAAGAGGCTTACAGAACACCAAATAGAACAGACCAGAAAAGAAACTCCTCACAGCACATAATAGTCAAAACACTAAATCTATAGAACAAAGAAAAAATATTAAAAGCAGCAAGGGAAAAAGGGCAAGTCTTTACTTTTTGGCAGCACTGATTCAAGTCATTTCTGTACTATACCTGACACCATTTCTGCAGTAAAACGTGGTGTATTGGCAGACAAGTTCCCTAATCCTCTTTCTTCATCTGCAGAAACATCTGGTCACTTTTGACCCGTTGCTATTCCACATTAATTCTCTGCTTTCCTTTAATATGACATCAGTTGGTATTGCTGCTGGAAATCTTGACTTTATAGTTCAATTCGGAAAGAGCTGCCATCTTTATAACCTTTCATGTTTCTATTCATGGTTCCTCATCTGTGCCTTCCCTGCTGCTCCATCTCTATTCTTCAGGTCCTAAAATGGGGGCAACCAGAGTCTTCCCTGAATACTTCTACCACCAGCTCAACACATTTTTGGGCTAACTGTCCTAAAGAAAGACAATATGGGATAAGCTATGCTGTCCACTGACTAGGCGGTGCCAATTGGTCTTTATTATTGAATATACGGAGATACACAGAAGTTTGGGACACTCCACTGTCAGATGCCTCAGGAACTCCTTCAGGAGCTGAGTGGAAACCTTATTAAGGAGCAAAGATTAAGGATAGAGGAGCCTAGAGTACTGAACAGATGAGATCACCCTCTGAAATAGGCTGGGAGGGCAACTAAGGACAGAATGTAAAAAGTTAAGTAGGTAGAAGGAAAAAACTTTAAAAAATGGCTGAGAAATGACCATAAATGTAGAGACTAACAGAAAATTATCCCAAGGGAGGGAGTGAGGTAAGAACGCTGACCAAACCAAAGAAAAGATAACCGCTAGGAAAGCCTCTAGCTCTAATGAAGAAGTCATGAGCGGTAAGAGACAAGAATCACACCTCCCCTGATTTCACTGATTTAAGATAGGATAGGAGAAAAATAACAGGTACATGAAAGAAGCCCAAATATGTGAAGAGAACATGCATAAGAAAATCAACTGGAAAAAATTACTCCCATGTGTGTTCATCATGAATGGAGGCAAAGTGCCTGCAAAACAGCTCAAAGGAGAAACAGTTACCAATATTACTAACCCGATTCCCAGCCTGTCTACAAAACTAGCCTCTACAGCAGTGAGCAGAGCAAGCAGCAATATGGAGACAATCCTCCTCCCCTTTTTTAATGTGTGGTGCTGCATACTGCATGTGAGGTCAGGAGTTGCCTCTCTTCGACCCTGTGGGTCCCAGAGAACAAACTCCTATCTTGCTGGACCTGATCTTGGTTTTGGAGACAGTCTATTTAACTCAGGGTGGCCTGTTACTCATACAAGTTCTCCTGCCTCAACTTCCCAAATGCTGTGATTGCAGGAATAGGGTAGCACATCCGGCTACAGACAATTCTTAACTGAGAAAAAGTACATACATACAAACATACAGCCATAATGCATGTGCAAGCCCCAAGCATGAATCAGTTCATGTCAGAAACTCAGATGCAACAGTGAGGGAAGATGCTGGGTGCATTCCATCATACACACAAGAGCCCAGTTTAGAATGTTAGCCTTTGGAGCCTAGCTTCTCTGGAATACCTAAAATAAATCAAGAAGAATGCTTTCAAGTTTTCCTTTATATTTCTTAGTAAATATCTATATAACTAAACTTGCAAGAAGAGGAAGGAAGAAAGGAGACAAGACAGAGGAAGAGCAAAGGAGGAGAAAGATGATGATGATGACAATATGTCAAGGGATTAGATCAATGACATATTCAGGAAAGCCAGCTGAAAGAATGGCAATGAAGTAAAAAGAATATTAGTAACTTTTCAGATGAAATACATTAAAATATTTGAAGGTTATTCTCTCTCACAAATGAATGTTCCAATGTCTAAAAAATATATTTGCAACAGAAATATGCCCTAGAACTAAGTGACTCAGGCTAACGAGTCCCATTTACAATCTAGTACAACTTAAAGATACTTTAAATAAGTAGACGATTCTTTTCACTCTAAGGGCAAATGATAGTACTCTGAAAATCAAGTTGGAAAGATTACAAATATACAGGATTATCATTACACAACTGTTCTCTTCTTCTTTTCACCTCCAATATACCAGAGTACATGTTTGGTATAAGTGCCTTGGGGGCAACATATGAGGCAAGGGAGGAGTCTGTCTCACAGGAGTTAGTCCTAATGGTATGTATAACACATGAGAGGCAACTGCTCTTTCTCAGGTAAATGTAAATTGTAAGTGACCAGTCACACCCCAGAAACATTTCCCTACATAGATCTACCTCCTCCCTTGACCTTCTCATTCTTTCTTTGGGTACCCTCAGTGCTCAGACTATAGAGCTCTACAGAATCTCCACTTTTTAAATATCTGTGTGTACCCAAACTTGTCCATGCATAACCTTGTTTAAATTTCTTTTCACCCCAATAAGACAAACATATATGACAGTTCTCATTGCTGGGACGCCTAAGCACATGGCTACATCACAGGGCGCCTACACAGCAAGGTTGAATTCTGAGTCCATGCTTTCACAGCCTGTGCTCTGAACAGGTTTTCCAGAAATAACAAAGAACAAGTCAATTTAGCGTATCTAAAATGTATCAAGTTTGGAGTCAAAGAACTGAGTGGCTTTCCACCACCCCCAGGTCTAGCTCTGCACAGGACAAAGAGGCTCAGTCGACAACCTGCTCAATTCTAAGGATGGCTAGATGTTAACACCTGTGGCAGTCACTTTCTGTCTTCCATTTTTTCCCCTTAGAGCAAGGGACTGTGAAAGTACAGTGGGGAAAAAAAAATAAAGGTTGGAAAACGGGACCTTGCCGAACCACACTAGCACGACAAGGCAAATAGTTCCAGTATTTCTGTCCGGCAAATAGTAAGCATGCCTTTGCGAGAGAGTTCTAGAGCCATTGAGTTGAGCCTCAGAAAATGAGGTGTTGCAGGAGAAAAAAAAGAGAGGCACTTTTCTCTCTGTCCAAGTCTACTGGTGAACCACTCAGGCTGAAATGTCACATGTCTCAAGGTAACACTTTTCTCAGGGGCCACAGTTCTCTATACATTCCCATATACAACTTATTTTCAGAATCTTTTTTTTTTTTTAACTATGTGAGGAAACAAATAAAAACAAATAAAAAAACTAAACCAAACCAAATAAACAAACCCAAGAACAAGTGCCCTCCAGGGTCAAAGGCAAAAATGGAAAAGAGCTAGTTGACCTGTTTTGAAATGCATAAGATTTTCCTAAAGGCCCAGGGACACCATGAGCCTTGGCACCTTTTTGCTCCTCATTTAAAGTCCCTGAAAAGGTGCTTATTTTCCAGGACCCCAGAAAAATCTGCTCTACATCACACGCCACCAGCCAGCCTTCTAACACTGGCGGCAGGGCAGGGCAGGGAGACGCAAGGCTGCTTTTGTTGTTATTTCTAAGGCACTCTAGGTTGTACACCTCGAGGTCAACAAGCATAAAAGTTTAAAAGAAAAAAAATGTGAGAGAGAAGTCAATCTGTATCATATCCCAGAATGGGGCCAAGCCATTTCTCCACCTCAGCCACAGGCATGTTCTTCCTCAAAGCATAATCCTCAATCTGCAAAAGACAGAAGCATCTTATTAGAACAAAGTACTAAAGAGTGTCTGATTGTGTGTCCACAGGTTTCTCCAATGAACAGCAAGTACCTGGCATTATCTTGTCTTAATAGCAATCTACTGAGGTGCGCAGATCCAGACTATTTTCTGTCCGCCTACTTGCCTTATTCTCTTGACAACAACATGCAGTGAGTGTCTGCTGACTAAAGCTGGCAGGCCGCACATGTATGCAAGTGTGTGTGTGTTCGTGTTTGCGAACATGAATTGTGGATAGAGAGGGAGGACGGATTCATGAGATAGAAGCGGGCGAAATCAAATTAAGACATAAACTGGGGTGAGCTTACAAACACAGATATTCATACACACAAACCTACCACACAGTATCACTTTATTTTCATTTAAAATGGGTCCTCTGGGTCCATTTTAAAGACAGTCATCTAGAGAAGCCACATACTTACCTGATCTTTGGAAATTTTCCCCACAGCAAAATATCTGGACTTTACATTGGAGAAGTAGAGGCCTGATACTGCTGAAGCAGGTGCCATTGCCAAGGATTCTGTCAACCTGATGCCTGAAGAGAACCACAGGAAGCCATCAGTGCCTGGGCAGGGCACTGACAGCATCTGAATAAACCGGACATAAACTCATTCCTTCTAACAATAATAGAGAAACAAGCTCAGATCACAAGGTCTAGCCAACTCTTACCAGGTAGAAAACGCAAATTCAGGACATGCATATTCTACCCAGTGGGAGCAAGCCTGGAAAAGACTTCATTCTTTTCCTCTAGCTACTGGCTCCAATTTGTCCCTGAGCCTGAGCCTTCTCAGGTAAGACTGCAAGCCCTATGTAGTCAGTGATAGCAGGAATGAAGAACAAGTGCACAAAAGCACTGGGAAGAAAGTGTCCTCAGGACTCCCATTCTGCACCACTCTATGGACAAAAGCATGAACTCAACAAAGGCTGAATATGTTCTAAGGACCTCCAACTAGCTCACAGGAAATGGGACCCACACCCAGATGTTATGACTCCAAGAGTTGTTTCTGCAGACCCAGAACCAATGCGACTCATAGTTTCCTTTCTTTGATATGATAGTTTTGTCAGCTAATTTTGATTATATCACTGGGTTTATGATTCAACAAACTGCACATGTCATTGGTAAGTGTGTGTACTCAATGAGCAAGGACAGGAGCTCACTGTCTCCACACACCTGTGGCCGGCTCGATGTCAGCCAGTCTCCACATAGTGAGCTTCTCAGTATGGTCAGGCTGGCTAGGGTAACCAGGAGCTGGCCGGATGCCCTCATAGCGGAGTTTGCGCAAGTCTGTGACACCCAACTGCTCACTACTGGAGTAAGCCCACAGTTCGCGGCGAACTCTCTCATGGAGCTCCTCTGCAAAGGCCTGTGAACACAGAAGAGAGAAGGACACAATGAAGCAGAAGCAACCTGTGGCCTCTAGCCCTGCATCACAGTGGCACAGACCTGCTTTCCCCACCTGGCCACAGTCAGGAAAAACTGGGCACTTTCACTGGTGGCCCTGAGACAAAAGGGTGTCTTCAGTCTGAGTTCTGAAGTATCATACTTAGTAATCTGAGAACTCTAGGCCATTTCCTCAAGTCAATGGGACCATAGCTTTACCAGAAGACTAGTGGGCCCATGTAGCTGTATTCTCCATGGCCTCTGAGGAGAAAGGGGTCAGGATTTCCCACAGCCTGGGCTGCCCCACCCCACATGCAGCAAGATAACTAGACACAAGTTGCCAACACTAGAGAGGAGTCTGAAAAAGAAATCTGATTTTAATACTGGGGGTTATCAGTAAAATGATGTATCACAATAATCAAAGAAAGACTAATTCTGAGCTAAGGTCAAGACTCTAAAGGCAACAACCAACTAATACTGCAATGAACGTTTCTCTTTGCTCAAAATGAGAAGCATTTGGGAGATACAGAACTTAAAAATATAAGTTGTGTTAAGGCCAGCAGCATTTGACTCAAGTACAGAGAGACACAGGTTCTAATGGTTGCTAGGTTTTTTGACATTGTCACGGGAGCTCCAACACTTAGACTCTGCTTCAGCACCCAAGTATCTGCCAATGCCTTACCTCTGCCAGCCTGTCCCCTAGTGCCTTCACCATGATGCTGTTGTAGTCATCGCCATCATCCTCATAGGCCTTACTCAGCTCTTCAACCCCAAAGCAGGCAACAGCAAACAGACCCAAGTAGTCTCGAACACCAGAATGCAGAGGTGCAATGAAGTCTGAGAGGCAGTGGTAGGGGTCTGTACTGGAGGAATCCTTCTCAGCCTTAAAACCCAAGCATCAGGCAGAGAAGCCATTAGCATGGCCATGACACCAGATCATGGTAAGGAACAATGAAAAGAAGTCACAGGTCATAGGGATGCCTGCCTGCTTCATTCAGCTCTACCCCAACACTCAGAACAATGTCTGGCACACAGTGAGTATGCAATAGGCACTTGCTGAATAAACAAGATCCTATGGTTGGTGCATGCTCATACACTAAACGGCAATTACTCAACTTGGCCATGTGGGGACCAGGGGGGACTGCAGCATACGAGGTGATGCTCTCATGACCTGATCAATGTCTTTCTTGCAGGATGGGTTGCCCACCACTGGAGTATAGCCTTCTTTTCTCACTTGCACATGTGCTTTTCCCCTTTTCTGACTTTTACCATGTTACAAAGCAGCCTATAGCTCTCACTAGATGTGGCTGTCTAATTTTATACTTCTTAACATCCAGAAAAATGAGCCAAAATAAACATTTTTATTTATAAATCTCCAGCCTTAAATATTCCATTATACAACAGAAAACAGACTAAGACGCAGATGAAATAAGATTTTTTTAAAAAGGGATGAAATGATATAACATATATAATCAGAAAACTAGTTGATTTGCTCATTTACACACTGACCAAACACTTCTGAATACCTGCTTGTCACTGCTTTCAATTCAGACGAGCATGTTTGAAATGAACCTGACAAAGCTATTAGCTTTCAGTGTACATCGACAGATGAAGTTTAACAAACTGCTGAGGTCAAGAGCATATGGGCCAGGTATTGTCGCCATGGTTTGTTACAAGACAAGTCCATATACACATAATCTGCTCAGGGCCTAGAAATCACGGTTGGAAGAATGCACAAACCTCTATGTTTGATCACCAGTACACATAAGCCAGGTACAGCCTTGCAAGTCTATAATCTTAGTGTTCACATCATGAGGACCAAAAATTCAAGGTCCCTTGGTGACACCTCAAGTTTGAGGCCAGACCAGGACACATGAGATTCTGTCTGAAAACCAAACACACACACACACACACACACACACACACACACACACACACACACA